AAATGTTTTGATAGTGTGATCAAAGCATATGGTTTTATACAGACTTTTGGAGAAGCCTGTATTTACAAGAAAGTGAGTGGGAGCTCTGTAGCATTTCTAATATTATATGTGGATGACATATTGTTGATTGGAAATGATATAGAATTTCTGGATAGCATAAAAGGATACTTGAATAAAAGTTTTTTAATGAAAGACCTCGGTGAAGCTGCTTACATATTGGGCATTAAGATCTATAGAGATAGATCAAGACGCTTGATTGGACTTTCACAAAGCACGTACCTTGATAAAGTGTTGAAAAGGTTCAATATGGATCAGGCGAAGAAAGGGTTCTTGCCTGTATTACAAGGTATAAAGTTGAGTCAGACTCAATGCCCGACCACTGCAGAAGATAGAGAGAAAATGAAAGGCATTCCCTATGCTTCAGCCATAGGCTCTATCATGTATGCAATGCTGTGTACCAGACCTGATGTGTGCCTTGCTATTAGTTTGGTAGGGAGGTACCAAAGTAATCCAGGAGTGGGTCACTGGACAGCGGTCAAGAACATCCTGAAATACCTGAAAAGGACTAAGGATATGTTTCTCGTATAATGGAGGTGACAAAGAGCTAGTCGTAAATGGTTACGTCGATGCAAGCTTTGACACTGATCCGGACGATTCTAAATCGCAAACCGGATACGTATTTTTATTAAACGGTGGAGCTGTAAGTTGGTGCAGTTCTAAACAAAGCATCGTGGCGGGATCTACATGTGAAGCGGAGTACATAGCTGCTTCGGAAGCAGCAAATGACGGAGTCTGGATGAAGGAGTTCATTTCCGATCTAGGTGTTATACCTAGTGCATCGGGACCAATGAAGATCTTCTGTGACAATACTGGTGCAATTGCCTTGGCAAAGGAATCCAGATTTCACAAGAGGACCAAGCACATCAAGAGACACTTCAATTCCATTCAGGACCAAGTCCAAGTGGGAGACATAGAGATTTGCAAGATACATACGGATCTGAATGTTGCAGACCCGTTGACTAAGCCTCTCTCACGAGCAAAACATGATCAGCACCAAGACTCCATGGGTGTTAGAATCATTACTATGTAATCTAGATTATTGACTCTAGTGCAAGTGGGAGACTGAAGGAAATATGCCCTAGAGGCAATAATAAAGTTATTATTTATTTCCTCATATCATGATAAATGTTTATTATTCATGCTAGAATTGTATTAACCGGAAACATGATACATGTGTGAATACATAGACAAACATAGTGTCACTAGTATGCCTCTACTTGACTAGCTCATTGATCAAAGATGGTTATGTTTCCTAACCATAGGCATGAGTTGTCATTTGATTGTTGGGATCACATCATTAGGAGAATGATGTGATTGACTTGACCCATTCCGTTAGCTTAGCACTTGATCGTTTAGTATGTTGCTATTGCTTTCTTCATGACTTATACAAAGTTCCTGCAACTATGAGATTATGCAACTCCCGTTTACCGGAGGAACACTTTGTGTGCTACCAAACGTCACAAGATAACTGGGTGATTATAAAGGTGCTCTACAGGTATCTCCAAAGGTACATGTTGAGTTGGCATAATTCGAGATTAGGTTTTGTCACTCCCATTGTCGGAGAGGTATCTCTGGGCCTTCTCGATAATACTCATCACCTAAGCCTTGCAAGCATTATAACTAATGAGTTAGTTATGAAATGATGTATTACGGAACGAGTAAAGAGACTTGCCGGTAATGAGATTGAACTAGGTATTGGATACCGACGATCGAATCTCGGGCAAGTAACATACCGATGACAAAGGGAACAACGTATGTTGTTATGCGGTTTGACCGATAAAGATCTTCATAGAATATGTGGAAACTAATATGAACATCCAGGTTCCACTATTGGTTATTGACCGAGAATAGTTCTAGGTCATGTCTACATAGTTCTCGAACCAGTAGGGTCCGCACGCTTAACGTTACGATGACAGTTTTATTATGAGTTTATAAGTTTTGATGTACCGAAGGTTGTTTGGAGTCCCGGATGTGATCACGGACATGACGAGGAGTCTCGAAATGGTCGAGACATAAAGATTGATATATTAGATGACTATATTCGGACACCGGAAGTGTTCCGGGTGTTTTCGGAGAAAAACCGGAGTACCGGAGGGTTACCGGAACCCCCCGGGAACTAATGGGCCTTGATGGGCCCTAGTGGAGAGAGAGAGGGGGGCCGGCCAGGGCAAGAGGCGCGCCCCCTCCCCTTGAGTCCGAATAGGACAAGGAAGGGGGGGAGGGGGCGGCGCCCCCCTTGCCTTTCCCTCTCCCACTCCTTCCTTCCCCCTCCTTCTTGGAATTGGAAAGGGAGGGGGCAAACCTACTTGGAGTAGGTTTCCCCCTCCTAGGGCGCGCCTCCCCCTTGGCCGGCCCCCTCCTCCTCTCCCCCTTTATATACGGGGAGGGGGGCACCCCATAGACACACAAGTTGATCTACGGATCGTTCCTTAGCCGTGTGCGGTGCCCCCCTCCACCATATTCCACCTCGGCCATATCGTCGCGGAGTTTAGGCGAAGCCCTGCGCCGGTAGAACATCATCACCGTCACCACGCCATCGTGCTGATAGAACTCATCCCCGACGCTTCGCTGGATTGGAGCCCGGGGAACGTCATCGAGCTGGACGTGTGCTGAACACGGAGGTGCCGTACGTTCGGTGCTTGGATCGGTCGATTCGTGAAGACGTACGACTACATCAACCGCGTTGTCATAACGCTTCCGCTAACGGTCTACGAGGGTACGTAGACAACACTCTCCCCTCTCGTTACTATGCCATCACCATGATCTTGCGTGTGCATAGGAATTTTTTTGAAATTACTACATTCCCCAACACGAAATGTAGGACTTCGACACCCCGGCCCACCCAATTCCCCCTCTCGGTCTCATTTCCTTCCACTCTGCGCCCTTCTACCCCTTGTTTTTCATCCGCACCCTCGACCCCCGCCGCCGCTACTGCACGTCTCCGGCCGCCACAGAGGCATTCCGAATGTCTGCAACCAGCAGCTACGCGCCTGCTCGACGTTTTACGACGGAGCTACCCACCTTGGAGCCGTTTGTACCCAGGTACACATCGGCCCCTGTTGACGACCTCCATGGAGGACACCACGCCCGGCAAGTGTTCGGCCAAATGCCATTGAGCTTATTTTCAAATGTTATGTCATTTTTTAGACTACAAAGAATGGTGAGCTACTCGACCATGGATGATGAGTTATTCTGCGATGTGTAGCTAGCCATATCCACGGATTTCATTGGCAGGAGCAAAGGGGAGCCCTTCTGGGAGCAAGTGCATGAGAAGTTTCACGCACGAAAGCACATTGCTCCCTATGACATGTACATCGTTCAACACACAACGCGAGGTCGTTGTCCTATCGCTGGCACGCTATCCAGGTCGACGCCATCAAGTTTTGCAACGTAGGTCGTCAGCTCGAAGCAAGTGCCCATTGAACGCGGGAGAGGACGAGATCATAAGTTTTATTTCCTCTTGCTCAACTTGCTGATTGATTCATTCACTCAATATTGGTCTACACATTACATGTAGCCCGCACGCGTCGCCCTGGTGTATCACAGGACAGAGGCACGAATCAATGTAGGAGAAAATTTACGAGTTGACGTTGGAGATGCCCTAAAATCTCATGCCACTTCCCAAAGATTGCAAGACATGCCATTAAAGGTCGTATCAGGAGAATGGTGACATGGGGAGAGGATAGGATATCCCCCCTCACTATTTCACGTGAGCAGAATCATCACGTTCGATTCCACCGGTTTTTACACGAATGCCCTCAAAGTCAAGTGGGGGCAAGTAAAGTGGTTACTTAACTCGCTGACAGTCCCCTCCGATCCGCCCATCATCTCTCCTGAGAAGACGAATCAATCCGTCAACTCTTGATGAGGGTTGGCTTTTTTTAGGTAAAGCAAATCTTTATGTTTTAGATGCCATAGTAACACAGATGTCATTTTTGGACAGTATTACTCCCTCCGTTTCAAAATAGATGACCCAATTTTATACTAATTTTAATACAAAGTTGACTCATCTATTTTGAAACAGAGGGAGTATCATTTTAGGGACAACCAGTCTTGCAGGATCTATTTTAAAATAGAGGGAGTACCATTTTAGGGACCAGTGTTGACAACCAGTCTTGCAGGAAATACTATTGCTAGTGCTGGTCGCGTAAAAAAAACACTAGGGCTGGTAGCTGAGACATGAAAGAGAGAATGAGCACACATAATCTTGTCGTGTCCTCACGTATGATTTTTCGTTCCTCCGTACATTCTATCCTCCCAGATGCTGTACACATTTTTGGGTCTTGGCCGCACGGGTATTCCGACCCATAGTAGTGTGTCAATTCAAACTGGTTCCAAGACAAGGTAAGTCCCGAAATGTCGACACCATCGGCACACCTGACCTCACCAAGTACTACTGTTCTTCTTTCCCCCCCAAAAAGGAAAAGGTCAAATACGAGAGAGCTCAACTATTTCCTAGTCAAGCTGCCGGATCACAGGAAAGATTTGATAAGGCAGACATGGGCAGATAAGAGACGTATGGGACGGGACGATCTCCGTCTTTTAAAGAGTGTACTTCCAATTTTATTGAAAAGTCAAATGTTTTTATGTTTGACCGTATTTATATAATAATACATCGCATTATGCCATGAAATTAGTAGTACATAATGAAATGTATTTTCATCATATAGCTATTTGGTTTCACAAACATTGATATAGTTTTGCACAAAATTTAAAGTACGTATCATGACAGTTGTCTCAGGCGTTCTAGATCGTCGGCCGCTCCATCACGAATATTCCCAGCATTCCGCCCAGCGAATCCCGGCCGACTGTCAGTGGCCCCGAGGTCAAGTGGGGCCCAGTAAGTGCTCGCCTTACTTTAGCCGCCCACACGGCCGTCTCCTCCTCGCCGTCTGCCCTCCTCTTCTCACCATCCATCGGCTCTCCCCTGTTTCTCTCCGATGGCCACGGCGACGGCGGCGGCGGAAGGCCTTGTGCGCCAGAGAGCGACGGCGACGGCGACGGGGACGGCTTCGAAGGCGTGGACGAGGGCTTCGACGGCGTCGACAGCGACGGCGACGGCGTCAAACGCAACGGCGTGGACGGCGACGGCGTCGACCGCAACGGCGATGCCGACGGCGAAGGCGGCGGCGGAAGGCCTTGGGCGCCAGAGAGCGAGCCCGGACCACCTCCCCGTGCCTCCCCGCCCCCGCTCCCGGTATCGGCACCGCGCGGCGGTCCGGCCGCATCCCCTGGCCGTGGGCACGCCGCCCCGCCCCGCCCCCGGGCTCCGGCATGCTCAGGCGGAGCACCGTGCCCTTCCTCCTCCTCGCCCCCGCGCTCGTCCGGCACGTCCCTACAACGGCGGACTGTTTGCCGCTCTCCTCTACCTGTGCGTCGCGCTCGGAGTTGCCGTGGATTCGTGCGGCTCGCTGCGGGCCTACGGAGGCCTCGCCGCGGTCGTCGCCGCCCTTATCATCGCCCTTGTGCTGAGGCGTCCGCCCCGATTGGCCCATCAGGACAACCCTGATGGACCCCGCCAGATCCTGGCGGCTCCGGCTCGGCGGATTCAACCGGAGCAACCCCGCCTCGCTCTCACTCTCACCATCACCGGGAGCATCCTGGACGCTGCGCAGGTTGCTGCTGCCATCCGCAGTTTCATGGCAGACAGCACCCGTCCGATCCTCGCCGTCAGCCCACCCCAAGCTGACTCCTCCGACTCCGACGGGAGCGGGTCAAGCACCAGCGGCGACGACATCAATAACTTGTGGTATACTCCCCTCCACCTCTTGAAATCAGGGGATGTCTGTCTCATCCACCCCGCCTTCATCCAGCAGCTCCAGGAGATGGATCCATGGTTAACCGAAGCTGAATCCCTTGAATTGCTTCAGAGAGCGTTCAGAGATGCCAACACCTCTGATGGATTCAAAAGGTATTAATAAATCGCCAAGTACTAGTTGATTTATTATCTATCTGGGCACAATTTTTGTTCTTCATATCCTAGAGAAAAAAAAGTCAACCTTTTCTACTCCGAGTCTTTTTTGCAATATTAGTACTAGTATTTCACTTACTTAAGTACTAGTTGATTTATTTTTCTTAGCCAAGATGGTAGCACAGCGAATGTCTTGACCAGTACGAGTGCTGATGGCACGTGTTTGCCACTTGGGATAGGGCCAAGTGGGGTAAAGTAAAAATGTAAAATGGTTCCAATAATTTCAAAAGATTGAGATCAACCTGTTTCAGTTCAAGTTTTAGATTTTGGGTTTTAAAGTGGACCTTTTCTCCAATATATAAGTAAAAACCCTAGTGTGCCCTTCTTTGTACTACATGATACTTTTGCTTCAGTTATCTTTACATATACTGGCATGAGAACATCTGTCGCTGAATTATTATATGTTTGTCTTTACATTATGGCATTATGTGGTTTCTTGGATAGTATCATGTCACGTGTAGTAGAACAATGATGTTCTTGGTATCGATAAGATTGACTTCGGTGCTTTATAATTGATATATGATGCTGTCTGAAACTATGTACGTACTTGGCATTACATTCTGAAGTTTGGTCTTGTATTCTTGTCCTTGAAACAGATTGTCTGACATAGTTGAGGAGAACCGAGGGATTATCTATGACGGTCTTCATGTGTTGACAGACGGATCAACTGGGGCTTCTGTCATGACGATGAAAATTACTGCAAAGCTTATTGACTTGATCTGTCTTGAATTAGATGGGCAGAACTGGAAGTCATGTCAGGATGTCAAAAAGGAATGCTGCTTTCAAGAGGTTGTCAGGCAATCTGTAGAGGAGCTCCTTGATGTTGCACTTTCATTCAGCAACACAAGGTGGTCTGCTCATCATCCATTGCAAATGCTAACCATCTTAGATGCACTTGTCGATGTCCTATGTACCATAAGGGAATTGACTTTCAGCAGTACTGAGTCCATGCATGATGTGGTTGCTCATGTTTTTTACAAGATGGTGGTTGATTTGAGGGGAATGCTTGAGGGGACTACCAGTACCAGTGACATGCATCGCATTCGAGAATGTGCCATCCATCCAGCAACCGCTCTTCTTGTACGATACCTGGAGTTTTTCTGTCGCAACGGGGACATGATGCAGTTTGTACTCGGCACCGAGGATTTCACTATTGAGCTTAGCATGATCTATGCTTGGGTCTCCAAACTCAGCGAAGATGCAGAAGCAATGTTCCCAGCAAAGGGTCAAAGGTACATATACATCTTGAATAATATGGATTTTGTTTATCAACTGAAGAATCATCCCGGAGGATGCCTTTCCAGCGTAGAACTGCAGACGGGTCTCTGTTCGCTGATCCATCAGTACATACAGAGCTACCTTGATGAATGTTGGGTCCCACTTTTGGGTGTTGATTCTCTCAAGAGATTTCTTGAAGAGTTCTTTACCATCTGTGATAGCCAGATGACATGGAAAGTTCGTACTGTGCTCAAGGTGACACTGCGTCGGGAGATTGTGGGATTAATTGTTCCAAATTACGTGAACTTCTTACAGGAAAATCCTAGTTCGCACCGGACTTCCTGGTTGAAGGCCAGATCTGAGAAACCAATGTATATTGCTGTGTGGTTGGAAGAGAAGATCAGTGAATTCTTTGAGAGATAACAGCCTGCTAGTAGTCATGAAAGGGCACCACACTTGTACAGGGTCGTTGCATTTGTCGTACCACATTAGCATTAGTAGAGAGCAGTTTTGTGGTGATCCGGCCGTGCTACCAAAAGGGTTTAGTCTGTGTAATAATATTTTCAGGTCATAAGCCTGCTTGCAGTAGTAGCAAGATTCAGAGCTGGTTGGTGTATAGTGTTTGTTCAGTGTATGTTTATACTGTAGGGAAATGCAATGTTTTGTTCGTCTTCCATGTACAGTCTTACCCCATATATGTGACCAAGCACAATTCTTTGTCTTTCTTCTTTTTACCCTGAAAAAGAGTGCAGAGTTTTCCAAACCAGCCAATTTCACGAAAATCAAGCTGTATTACAAGTGCATTTTTAATAAACTTACTACAAATGGTATTTACAGAGATGGAGTAGAATCAAAATAAGACGGGACTAGGCCCAGAAGCTGGGTAGGGATCGGATTTTGGGAGAATCCTCAGATTCTGGCAAAAAAACTGGGCCTACATGACACCCCAAGCTGCCAGAAATCATCTTCCGCGGACTTTGGGCAACGGTTTACCGAAAGACAAAAAGTCATCAGCACAATCACAAGTGCACAACGGTTGGGCTGGAGCTAGCTAGCGTAAGAGACAGCAAATTCTACAAGATGATTACTGATTTAATGCGGCTTTGTCGGGAAAGATGTCACGCTAGCCCAAAGGGGAAACTGCGACCGTTGAATCTGAAAAGACAAAAAAGAAAACGAAAGAAAGCTGCTGCATGGGTGCCGTCCACGTGACGACGACACTTGTTCAAAGCCCAGCCTCTTGTTTTGCTTCCCACACGCGGACAGTCGCAGCACGTCCGCACGTTGAAAGCAACAGCTCGTCTACTTGGATTTTCCTCTTACAAAAATCTACTGTAGTTACCTTAAAATTTAAGAGAAATTTCCCTTATAATCAATGCTAGTGAAGGTAAAAGCGAGCTCATTTACTTCAAAACAAGGTACCACTACAGTATATACATCTAGCTTTTGTTAATGGTATCTCCAACGTTGTACCTTAAATTGGACACCCCGAATATACGTGTCCGTAGACAGCTTTATAGAAGCCGGCTATTCAACCGGGTGCATCAAGAAAAACCGACACGCCATTTTCATTAATATTACTCCCTTCATTTTTATATACAAGATCACAAACTCATACTACACATATACCAAAGTAAAATTTAATGCCTTATTTTGTACTCCCTCTGTCCCAAAATATAAGAACGTTTTTAACACTACACTAGTGTCAAAAACGTTCTTATATTATGACACGGAGGAAGTAAATCGTTTTTTCGTTTACTGAGATCATTAAATATGCCACATGCATGCAAGGATATGATAGAAAACTGAGTGGAGTGTCATTATAAATGCATGCATGCAAGTACAAAACAGATTGGTAGTATGAGGAAATATCATTCACTTCTGTTTCAATTACTGCTGGTGTCCTTGTATAGATGTAAAATGTATATTTTTCATAGTGACCTTCTATAAGCAAATGGAGGGATTACTTTTTCTCTACATAGAAAAGGTGACCGGCCCTACTCTATTCTTTGCCCGGAACGTCTCCTCCAATTGAACGAACTGTTGAATTATAGATGGGCTTTGACCCATATAAAACAATAATTTATGTTAATCTCTAAGACCCATATAGGTGTATGACCGGGGGTGGAAAGTTTAGTACCACCTCATAAATTGAGGAGAGTTTAGAACCCTTTATAAGAGTTGCTCTACCATATGTTATCGGGAGCTTGAGAAGAGGAGTGATACACACGCGCTCCTCCCCATCCGCCGCCCGCCACGCCACGCCCGCCCCCACGTGCGCGCTGTGTTTCATGAATGAGCCGAGCCTAGCTCAGACCTATGCTTGCACTTTAATTTTGCAGATCGGGAACGGTTAATTGGATTAATTAACGAGTTACCGACGGATGTGTATGAGATGTTGGACCCAGTGTCGGTGTCAAAACCGGCGGATCTCGGGTAGGGGGTCCCGAACTATGCGTCTAAGGTTGATGGTAACAGGAGGCGGGGGACAGGATGTTTACCCAGGTTCGGGCCCTCTCTATGGAGGTAATACCCTACTTCCTGCTTGATTGATCTTGATGAATACGAGTTTTACAAGAGTTGATCTACCACGAGATCGTAATGGCTAAAACCCTAGAAGTCTAGCCTGTATGATTATGATTATGATTGCATATACAGACTAAGCCCTCCGGTTTATATAGACACCGGAGGGGACCGGGGTTGTACAAAGTCGGTTACAGAGAAAGGAATCTACATATCCGAAGGCCAAGCTTGCCATCCACGCAAAAGAGAGTCCCATCCGGACACGGGAAGAAGTCTTCTGTCTTGTATCTTCATAGCCCATCAGTCCGGCCCACGTCACATAGGCCGGACGGCCGAGGACCCCTTAATCCAGGACTCCCTCAGTAGCCCCTGAACCAGGCTTCAATGACGAGGTGTCCGGTGCGCAGATTGTCTTCGGCATTGCAAGGCGGGCTCCTCCTCCAATACTGCAAAGCATCCTTCGAATACAGAAAATGTGTCCAGCTCTGCAAAACAAGTACCACACACAACCGCAGAGAGTATAGTATTTCACGAGTCCAATCCACTGACAACTTTTTGTAGCGTGACATCACGTCGCCGCCCGACCATTATTCGAACCGTTTTTAGCCTGTCGCTCCATATTTCGAGATGCGGTTTCATTGGCACGTCTTGTAAAAGTAGAGATCATGTCCCCTTATTGTGGGATTCTCCTCAATACGGGCATGGGTAACCCAACAGTGCCGTCTGGACGACCCTTGGGGAATAGGCGAGTTTAAGGCGAGTGCTGAGGCGTTTGATATTCACAGGCTTTATAAAGAGATAAGGATTTACCCCTTTCACCCAGGCCTTCTCTCTCTCTCTGCCTCCCCCATTCTCGAGCTCCAGCGCCCAAGTTTTCATCTTTTCCGTCCCAAGAAAGCACTCCAACCATGTCTGGGTCCGGTGCGCAGGGCAAGTGGATGGTATCCTCCGTCAAGGAGAAGGACATTACAAAGCTCCGGGAGGCCGGGTATTTGGAAAAGGAAATCGCCCACCAGCTTCCGGCCAAGGGACAGATAGTCCCTACCCCGGAGACCCATGAGAGAGTGGTGTTCATCCCCCACTTCGTCCGCGGGTTGGGATTTCCTCTCCACCCATTCATCCGCGGAATCATGTTCTACTACGTGATAGATATCCATGATCTAGCGCCAAATTCTTTCCTCAACATCTCGGCATTCATTGTCGTGTGCGAGGCTTTCCTCCACATCCCACCCCACTTCGGATTGTGGTTAAAGATCTTCAATGTGAAGCCGAAGGTGGTGAGTGGCCAACACGCAGAGTGCGGAGGCGCCATGGTGAGCAAGATGCCCAACATCACATGGCCCGAAGGCTCCTTCATGGAGACCGTCAAAGGGTGGCAGAAATCATGGTTCTATATCACAGAACCGCGCAACACCACCTGGGTCGCGGCTCCCAAATTCCGGTCCGGAGCCCTGATGCGGCTCACCTCCTGGCCAGAGAAGGGTCTGGACTGGTCTTCGCCGGACGAGCTGACGACGCTTTAGAAGCGCATCAGGAGCATGATAGCAAGAAGATCAAGCTTGTCAATGTGATCCAGGTGATGCTTGTTCGCCGGATCCTTCCGTGCCAAAGTCGGACTTGCCGTTTGTGGGAGTACGATCCGTCCAAGCACCAGACCTTGCTGCAGTTCTTCGGCATGATGTCTACTACACAACCTTCTTCTTGTAGATGTTGTTGGGCCTCCAAGTACAGAGGTTTGTAGGACAATAGCAAATTTCCCTCAAGTGGATGACCTAAGGTTTATCAATCCGTGGGAGGCGTAGGATGAAGATGGTCTCTCTCAAACAACCCTGCAACCAAATAACAAAGAGTCTCTTGTGTCCCCAACACACCCAATACAATGGTAAATTGTATAGGTGCACTAGTTCGGCGAAGAGATGGTGATACAAGTGCAATACGGATGGTAGATATAGGTTTTTGTAATCTGAAATTATAAAAACAGCAAGGTAACTAATGATAAAAGTGAGCACAAACGGTATTGCAATGCGTTGAAACAAGGTCTAGGGTTCATACTTTCACTAGTGCAAGTTCTCTCAACAATAATAATATAACTGGATCATATAACTATCCCTCAACATGCAACAAAGAGTCACTCCAAAGTCACTAATAGCGGAGAACAAACGAAGAGATTATTGTAGGGTACGAAACCACCTCAAAGTTATCCTTTTTGATCGATCTATTCAAGAGTCCGTAGTAAAATAACATGAAGCTATTCTTTCCGTTCGATCTATCATAGAGTTCGTACTAGAATAACACCTTAAGACACAAATCAACCAAAACCCTAATGTCACCTAGATACTCCAATGTCACCTCAAGTATCCGTGGGCATGATTATACGATATGCATCACACAATCTCAGATTCATCTATTTAACCAACACAAAGTACTTCAAAGAGTGCCCCAAAGTTTCTACCGGAGAGTTAAGACGAAATCATGTGCCAACCCCTATGCATAAGTTCACTGAACCCGCAAGTTGATCACCAAAACATACATCAAGTAGATCACGTGAATATCCCATTGTCACCACAGATAAGCACGGCAAAACATACATCAAGTGTTCTCAAATCCTTAAAGACTCAATCCGACAAGATAACTTCAAGGGGAAAACTCAGTTCATCACAAGAGAGTAGAGGGGGAGAAACTCATAAGACCCAACTATAATAGCAAAGCTCGCGATACATCAAGATCATATCACTTAAAGAACACGAGAGAGAGAGAGAGATCAAACACATAGCTACTGGTACATACCCTCAGCCCCGAGGGTAAACTACTCCCTCCTCGTCATGGAGAGTGCCAGGATAATGAAGATGGCCACCGATGAGGGATCCCCCCTCCGGCAGGGTGCCGGAACAGGGTCCCGA